ATTCAGAGGGGCCTGTAGATTCTCTGGGTCACAGGCTCCTCTGGGCCTCCGAGGGTCCTAGGTTCTAAAATAGATCTGACCCCCGCCCTGGCGGGCTCATTCCTCTTGTCCTCGACCAAGTGCCAGATGCGGGCCCAGCAGCTCCCCGGCCTGAGAACGGACAGGCGTGGCCGGTGCCCACGCAGTGCAGCCGAGAAGATGCCTGCCTCCTCTGGTCCTCTCAGCTTCTGGGGCAGCATCCAGGCCCCTCCCGTCATTCAGAGGGGAAACTGAGGCGGCAGGGAGAGACGAGAGTTGCTAACAGCAGCGGCAGCCCTGTCTGGGACCCATCCGGCTGAGACCGAACTGAACGCAGAGATAGAAGCGAGTTGCAGCCTCCGTGGCTACAACTGACTAGTGAGGGCAAACAGACTGGGGCAGAGGGAGTGATTTTTAGTGACTGGAGCCAAGACACTTGCAACTCCCCAAACAGAAGCCTCCTCTTAGCCCAGTCCTGGAAAGTGACTGACTTGGTCTCCGCTTTGGGACTGCAGCTCCAGCGTCAGCCCTGTCCGTAGAGACTAATCATTGAGCACTCACGAGAGCTTGCTGTGAATCTAAGCTCAGCACGGGGACAGATGTAGAGATGAACGTGTGGCCCGTGCCCCGGGGGGCTTTGGGCTAGCGGGGTAAAGGCTGCAAGCAGCTGCAATGCCCCATGTGACACACTGGCAGGGAGCCTTGGAATCCATCAGGTGAAGGGGCGAACCCCCACCTCCCCGCGACCCCCCCCCACCTCCCCACCAAGGAATAGGTGGGGAAAATCCTCCCAGAGGCGATCACCCTTGAGGTAAAACCCAAAAGACAGGCAAGACAGGCCAGTGAGTGAAGGTGAGCCGGCTGGCCACACGCCAGTTATAGGAGAGCTGAGGCTCTGAGGCCGGAGGGAGCAGAGAGCTTGTGTGCAGAAGTAAAGCCATCAGCATCCACCGCACAGAGCCCCAGGAAAGTCTGCTAAGTGTGGAGCCCAAACCCTGTGGGGAACTGGAGGCCACACGGAGAGCTCGGAGTTCTGGGTGGAAGGGTCTTCCGCAAAGCGTTTGGGCGTGGAGTGCACTTTTTCAAAATTCCCTCTGACTGCAGCTGCAAAGATGGGTGAACAAGAGCTCTGGTGTGAGGCTGTTATTCCTCCCTGGCAAGAGGGGGAGCCCTCTGGGCTCAGGGAGTGACAGGGGCTAAGGAGGCCACTACGGGGCTGTCATTTATGGGGCGCTTAAAGGAGCCCGTCAAAGAAGGAATACTGCTACGTCGTACCAAGCCCATTTGCCAGAAGAGGAAGCCAGGGTACAGACAGAAGAAGGGGTCCGTAACAGGTCCATGAGCCGGCTGGGCTGCAGCGGCCCAGTGCAGAGTGAAAGGTGCTGGCCCCTTTGCTCAGAATCGGCTAAGACTCAAGACAGTGACACAGAGCACTAGACCAGGCGTGGGCCTCAGAGAGGCCCCAGAGCGACCCCTAAGGTCCTGCGCCATGAAGCCGGTTCTGCCTCCAGGTTTCTGGCCCAGGAATGGAACAATCGCAGAGAAGCAATTTGGGGCAGAGGAGAGAGAGAAAATGGGGCCCCTGCTTAAGGCCTAGGGGGTCATCTGCAGCGGCTAGATGGCTCTGGATCTGGGGCCAGAGGTGGGGGCCAGAGCCCAGGCGCTGAGGGCTCACTGCTGCTGCCAGAGGTCCTTGGGCCTGAACATTCCCGCTACTCCTCCCCCACCCTCCGCCCCTGAAGCTGGGTGCCCCGGTCTAGTTTCCGCTGGGGGTCCTGCCACCAGCAACTCCTACCTGCTGTGCCTGGCACCGCTGCTTCCCTCTCCCCCCAAGAATGGCTGTTTCCCAGACCCCTGAAGGCAACAGCTGCTTTGTCAGCCCTCCATCTCCAGACTTCTGCTCAAGCCGCCGGGGACACAGGCAGGAGGCCTCATGTTTCAGGAACTCAGTGGCTTGGCCGTTTGTGAACAGCCCCAGAACCGGTGCCGGCGGGATCCCTGGGACACGTGGGCAGAGCCTGTCTCTGTTTGAGCAGCTTGAGGAGGAGGAAGCTGCTGCCCAAATCAGTCAGCAAGCTGTGCAAGGCCGCGGCCTCTGCGTCAGCCAGGCCTGGGCGTGGGTGCAGCCCCGGGGCCAGCCGCTGCACCCCTGCCTGCCTCCTGCACCTCCAAACAGGACAGCGAGGGCCTGGCTCACCTTCATTCATGCAGCAGACATGGCCTGAGTACCTTCTGCACATCAAATGCCGGGACAGACAGAAAAGTGTTTACCCCAGTAAGTAACCCGCTAGCTCCTGGAGAAGGGCTGAGATGAAGGGACGGCCTCTCATTTTGGCTTGCACGGGGCTGGGGAGCCAACAGGGGTGGGTTCTCCTGTCTGTAGCATTCCTAGAGACGGCTCGGGCAGGGTGGCCCCTGCCCTGAGGACTCCCCTGTGGCAACGACCCTCCTCTGTGGACAGGTGGGGTTATCCTCTCAGCCTTGAATCTGGACTAAGCCCAGCCAATAGAATGGGATGAAAGTTGCACCAACTGGCTTTGTATCTGGGTTATGAGAAGTGACGTGATTTACACCTGGCTCTTTAGGGAACTGTATGTCTCTATGCCTGAATGGCCTGAAGTCACCATGCTGGAGGGCCACCTGATGGTGCCAGGGGGTGAGGAGAGGGCCCCCTGCAGGTGCTAATGCAGAGGAGCCTTGAAATGACTCCAATTCAGCTGCCGTCTGACTGCAAACTCATGAGAGACCAGAGCAGAAGGCCCAGCTGCGTTCCTAATCCACAGAGACCCTGAGAGATAATAGGTGGTAGTTTCTGTTTTAAGACATGGAGTGTTGGGACGATTTTTGGGCAGCCACAGTAACTGGAACATTGATGAAAGGGTGGATGGACAGTGTGTTCTGCGTGTGGAAGGCAGCACGTGCGAAGGCCCTGAGGTAAGAAAGAGGCCTGGAAATGAAGGCTCAGCGGGGGGCTCCGAGCCCTTCCAGATCTCTTCCTTTGAACCGACCCAGGCATCTCCTGCTTCCTCTTCTTTGCAGAAGGCGCCATGCAATTTTGGGGTCCACTAAGTCTAGTTAACTAAACTGGAGCAGGAAAGAAATGACCTATCAGCCATTTCCTCATTCTTTCACTCAGGGGCCATGCATCACCCGTGCCAGGAGCTTCCACTGTCATGGCGGTGCCTCACAAGGAGTCCCCAGCTGCCACCAGGTGTTAATACTGGAACCGGAGGGAGAAGGAGGGATGGGAGAGGGAGGCAGAGGGGTCTCGGCTGGGGTGTTTGGTGGAGGGTGAGCGGAACATGTACACACACAAAAGAGCAAAAAGGAAGCCCCAAAGTTAAAATTAAAAGGCTGTCTCCAGGGCACAGATAGGAGACCGACTGGGGAGCGGAGCAGGGGGAGCGGGCAGTGGGCGGCTGGCCGGCTGGCCGGCAGCTGAGCTCCCTCCTTCCAGTTCCGGGCCCAGCACTTCCGGGCCCTGTGGCTCGGGCACATCCCTGCACTGCTCCGGGCTTCCGTTTTCTCCTCTGCAGAGAGGAGCGCGAGAAGCGGCCTCGTCTGACACAACCCTTTCCTCTGGGCGCCTCTGTGCCAGGCGCTGCCACAAACACATGACCCCCAAAACAGCTTCTTCCTCGAAAGGTCAGGGGAGGTGTGACCCCACTTACAGCGGAGACAATTGAGGCAGAGCTGGGCTAGCAGGGCCGAGCGAGCACACGGGAAGCCTGGAGAATGCCGGCGGCTGATAACCAGCTGCCTTTCCTTTTCCTGCCAAAGCTCCACACACCTGGCTTAGTGTTGTCAGGCCCCCGGATGAGCCCCTAAATCGCCACCTCGAGCAGCCTGCTAGGTTCAAAACTCCATCAGGATTTGGGAAAACAAAGGAGAAAAACAATATCCAACATCCAGATTGGCCCCCACTCTGGGAAAATGAGCAGAGAAGTGGAAGGCGGCCTTCTTCCAGGGCGAGCCCTAACCAACTCCTAGGCGCCAAACCCTGCCCTGCGGGGGTTCACAGTCCCGCAGGTCGGAGGAGGGGAGATACACCCTAATTGTGACGCTGACAACAGCAATAAAAGCTATTTATTTAGTACTCACCCCATGCCAGCGTTGAGCTAAGTCATTTAGTTTTCACACCCTCGGTTCCTCACAACTGAGTTCATCAGAAGGAGGCACAGAGAGGTTAAGTGACTTGCACAAAGTCACACAGCTGGTAAGTGGCAAAGCCAGGATTTGAAGAGGTAAACAAGTAAGCAGGTAAACCAGCGGATCAGAAGTCCTCATCACCGTGTTGGGTGCTCACACACATTCCTGAGGAGAGAGCTGGAGTTCCCCCGACTTACAGATGGGGGATATGAAGGCCTGGAAAGGAGCAGGATTTAGAGCCAGTGCCTCTGACTACTCGACTAGTCAGGACATTGCTGCACCCCAACTTCTTTTCTCTGTGATCCACTTCCCCACTCTAGCCAAAGCCAACCCCACAACAATCTGCCTAGCAACAGCTAGGGCCACGGCAGGGTGCAACGCCCCAGGCTGCAAGAGAGGAGGACAGGAGCCTGCTGGGGCTGCACGCCCTGGTCCTGCAAGAATTTTCTTGAGGAGCACTCTGAACTGGCTGCCTCCTCCCTGGCCTCACCCCTCTGCCCTTCCCCTCCCTCTGTGCTCTCTGGGGGTCACTTCGCTTGTATTCCAAGCACTAACACGAGCTGGAGGGGGGAAGGTGGAGGGGGAGAAGGAGAGGCGTGGGGCTGAAACTTGAGATCCCAGCCTCTGTGGGGGGAGGTTAGAGAGAGACAGAAAGACACAGACAGGAAGAGAAAACTCAGTGGTGTTTGACTTCCAGAAAGGGCAGCATCGGGGTTGGTATTTGTGTGCGAGGGAGCCCGTGTGCATGTGGGGGGTTGTTTCTGACCTCTCCTCTCACTGGGAGGCTAAGCCCCACCTTAGTTAATAAAAGGACTGAGAGGCCAGGAGAGCAGAGCAAGGCCAGGCATGAACAGAACAGCCCCGGGGCAGAAGTGAGGAGGAAGGAAGGGGAAGGGGGAAGAATAGAGGTAAGGGGTGCTGGGGGTGGAGCAGGAGGCAGTGGGAGGAAGCTGAGCAGCTGTGGTATTTGGAGCAAGTATAAATAGCCGCGTGGACAGAGCCTGGTCAAACAGGGGTTTTGCAGCTGCAGCTGCTCAGCTTGGGCAAGCCTGTCCCCTCAACCGCCTGTGCCCTCAGGGCCACGGAGGGCACTTCCTGGGCACGAGCCATCAGCAGGCAGGAGAGGCCCCTGGGGGCTCCGGCCGGACACCCCTTGCTGTCCCGCACCTGCAGATGCTGTCCTGGAGAGCCGTGCAGCTGGGTGGCCTCCTCCTCATCATGGCCACCCTGACCACAGCCCAGCGGAGGGGGCAGGAGGCGGGCGGGCGGCGCCGGGCACACCGGGTCCAGCACGGTCAGTGCAGCTACACCTTTGTGCTGCCCGAGCCGGAGCCCTGCCCACCAGAGCCTGAGGCCTTCAGGGGCTCCAACAGCCTCCAGCGGGACTCCCCAGCTGCCGTGCTGAATTTAGGGGACTGGCCGAACCAGCGGGTGCGACAGCTGGAAAAGGTGCTGGAGAACAACACGCAGTGGCTGCAGAAGGTAAGGCGGGGCCTGCAGGGGGGTGAGCGGTGGTGGGCAGGAGAGCGTCCACCGAGGGCCTGCCCTGGGCACAGTCGCCCTTGGGCTACACATCTCTGAATTGTTCAGATTGGAATGAGGCCCAGAGGGGGGCAGGGATGAGCCTGACAGCAGGCCGGGGCGGGGTCACTGCTGGAAGCCTGGGTCTCCAGCTGCTACTCATTCATGCATCTGATAGAAATCCCTTGCATGTGGCCAGCGGACCCAGCTGGGCAATCGTGCACAGGCCATGCGGTGGGGAGATGTCGGGGCCTGGACAACAGCAGGGCAGCAGTGTGGCTAGAGCAGGGAAAGAGAGGCCTGGGGGAAGCAAGGCAAGGTCTGGGACTGTGGTGGGCAGACCAGGTTCTGCCGTGGGGGTCGCTGGAAGACTCCGGCTCCTGCTCTGTGCATCATGGGGCGGCACAGCAGCATTTTGAGCAGGGAAAGACACCTGCTTGGGTTTCACAGAAAGACTGTAGGATGCAGAGGGGCTCAGGCAGCCCAAGGAGGAGGCCACTGGGCAAGAGGTTTGGGAGGCCTGGCGCTGGACGAGGATGTGTCCATTCCACTTCTGGAATATTCTGAAGGGACAGCTCATCAGCTGTACTGGTGAACTCACGGTAGGGTGACAGAGAGCAGAGCTGTCCTTTTGTCACTGTGTCATCAGACATTCTGAGTGTCTGTTGAGTGCAGCCGCCAGGTGAGGCACTGGCGTGAAAGAGGCAGGCTCAGCCTGGGGGAGGGAAGGCAGCCCGTGGGGGTCAGGGTGGGGCTGACCAGAGAGACCCTGTAAGAGCTGCCCAGGGTGAGAACTGGCCAGAGGCCCAAGCGCAGAAGACAATCTGGGCGCGGCCGAGCTTCTGACGGGAGACGAGGGAGAGAAGGGGGACGAGCGTGTCCCCTCAAGGGCCTCTCCAAGGAGCACCCCATTCTCAGTGCAGTTTCCCACCTGTTCAAATCATGTGCCCCATCAGTAAATAGCGTCCACCCCTGCTCTGGGATATCTGTTCAATGTTTTTGCCCACGCACCGTATTAATGTAACATGCAAACGAAAATGGGACTTTAAAAAGATGACATGGATCATGCACATGGTACTTTGCTCCTGGTTTCCAAAGCGTCGCCTCGAGTGCACCGGGTGTCTCCGCGGTGGAGGCTGCAGGCGTGCGCCTCACCACCCCTGCGCCACGTTCCTGCACAGGCACTTAGCCTGTGCCCCGCTCCGACCGAGCAGGAGCAGCCGTCTCCTAGGCCCCAGGCCCGTCTGCCCGAGCCCCCGCCCACCTGCCCCGGCCATGAGCGAGCGCTTGGCCTCACACTCTGGAGCCCAGGGGAGGCGCCAGGCTGCCCTGGGAGCTGCGTGTGTCTGTGGCAGCTGTTTCCACGCCCCTAGGGACCCCCAAACTTCTGCTCCTGGAGCCTCTGATGTCCCCTGCCAGCTCACAGAGATCCACCGTGGGCCTGGCGGGAAGGGCGTCCTCCTCGCCCGCAGGCCAAGCCCTGCTTTTCTCCTAGGGCAGGGTCCCCGCGCCTGCCCACCCTGCACACTGCCAGCAACTGCAGGCTGGTAAGTGGGCGAGGGACTCGGAAGACGGGGCGTGGGGCGCTGAGGAGACGGCTGATCAGGCAAGCGCGCGTGCAGATGCCCGCCCTGCTGGTGTTTCCCTCCACCTTAACCACATCTGAGTGTCCCATGTTGAAAGAGGAAGAGGAGGAGGGGAAGAGGGATGGGAGTAAGCGCCCTGGCCACCCTCCGGCCTGGGGCCCGGCTCTCAGAAGGCCACATGCTCGGCCTGACGCTGTCCCCCCCTGACATCATCCCCCGCACCCCACTTCCCAATGGCCACAGCTCACCTACAAAACTTGCCTGCTCTGGTAGCCTTCCCTCCCTCGTGGCCCCGCCTCCATCTCCTGCCTGGGTGGACGCCAGGGCTGCGGCTCTGGGCTCCTGTTTCCACCCTGGCCTGCAGTCCATTCTGCACTCACAGGGACCCCAATAAAACCCTTAGATGGTCCCTCCTCTGCTCAAAGCCTTCTCGGGGCCCCCAGCTCTTCAAACAGAAGCAAACGCCCTTGGGACACCTCTTCCTGACCCCTCTCGGCTCTCTGCTTAGGTGTCCCCACCCAGGGGTGCCCTTTCCACTCCCCCTCCTTCTGTCTGTCCATCCCCTACTTCTGCGCTTCTCTCTAGCGTGTGTGTAGAAGCCTTTCCTTGGGTCCGTGAGCACCCAGAGGACAGGACCCAGTGTGTTTTGTCCACTACGGGGTGCCCAGGCCACCACGCCTGGGGGACACTGCTCTGTGGTGTGAGCTGAGGGCCTGGGCGCATGGACGCACCCACGTCCATCCCAGCTCTCAGGTCACCGGCTCCTCCGCGCCCTGCACGCTGTTTCGCGGGACCCCGTGTCTGCTCTTCTACCCCTGTCGCGCCTCACCGCAGAGCCCCCAGGGCCGTCCCCAGTGACCTGCGCAGTCTCCACCCTGCCCCGTGGTGACACCAAAGGAGCATGGAGCAGGACCTGGCCCCCAACCAGGTCTAGGCCCCTGACCCCCAGAGCACCCCCTTTCAGGGCCGGTGATGTCCAGGGGCCAACGCCGCCTGACACTCAGCACCCCCTTTCCCACCTGCTTCTGTTTCTGGTAGCCCCAGTCTCCTGCTGCCCTGGGGTGTCCTCTGCCCCATGGAGCACCCACGGGCCAGTCCCATCCGGCCTCTCACCTGCTCTGGTCACCCAGCCGCCAGGCTCAGTGCTCCCCCCCCAGCACTGCTGTCACCTTCCTCCTGGATTCCTTACCCCAAATCTCACCCCTTTGTCCTCTTGACGCCCCTGAGTGCCTGTTGCTCAGACACTGGCTGAGCCAAAGGATGGCTTTAAACTGGCACCCCTCACCTGCAGAGCCCTCAGGGCTCTCGTGCCCCCCAGCCCAAGGCCTGGGCGTGTCTCAGGGCGAAGAGTACTCAGGCCCCACTAGTTCACATCCCCACCCCAACACTCCCTTGCCTCGTGGCTGCAGACAAGCGAGTCTCCGTTTCCCTAAGTGTAAAATGGAGAAATGACAATGCGTCGGAGTTCCCGAGAAGACCCCGGGGGGGGGGCAGCTCCCAGCCGTCCTCAACTGCGGCCTGGTGGTGCTCACCTGGCAAAACTGCAGCCGTGCAGTGGGGGTGGGGGGGCTTTTACTTCGACACCGTCTCTGGTGGGAGTCTTGCTCCCTGGAGCAAAGCAAGTTCATCCCCTGTTTGGTCGAAGGCTGCAGGTAACCTTAGGGCCCGGAATGTCACTTGTCCATGCCTGTGTGCCCAAGGGTCCTCAGTCCTGGCTGCTCTCGGTGAGGGCCAAGCAGTGCCATCTCCTGGGCAAGAGGCCCTTTGGGTAGAGGCCTTAGGTGTTCCAGGGACTGCCAGGTCACCCCATCCCTTGGGTCCTAGGACCTCCTTGGGCAGGAGCATTGCCTTGAAGGTGAGACCCTAACTCTAGAGTCCACTTGGGACTCCAGACCCCTCTCCCCTTCCTACTAGGTGACCTGGGCTGCGTTGCTTCACTTCCCTGAGACTTGCTTTCCTCGCCTATAAGAGGGTGTGATATACCACCCCCACCCTCCCCAAAGAGTAAATGAGATGATGCATTTGAGGCCCTTGGTCCCCAGGGACACAGTAAATACTCAGTAACGTGACGGTTTCCATTAGGTAACAGCGACTCAAGCCTGTGGCTCTAGGGTCCTTCTTCCTCCCACCGGAGACAGGTGACCGGCACGGGAGACATGCATTCGGATAGTTGACTCTCCCTCCAGGTCTTCCTGCTGTGGTCACAGACACTGGCCACCTTCTGTGGCCATGACTGTGACCTTGGTCATGACTTTGGCCATGACCGGCCACTGGCTCTTCTCTTGTGATTCTGAGTCTTCGACATTTGAGGACCTTTTCTGGGCTTCTGCTCTGACATACCAGAAGCGAAAACTATGCACGTCAAAATACTCTTATCTAGTAGCAGCATCACCATCGCCACTAGTGATGACCGGGGCTGGCTGCAGACGATAGGCCTCCCCAGACCAAGCTCCAGCAAAGTCCATTCATCTGGGTGGGCGCAGAGGAGACCCTCCCTGTTGCAAGCTCCCAGCAGCGCACGCTCGACCCACACCCAGCTCCCCTGGCCCACAGGGCACAGATGAGGCAGCCAGACCAGAGGGCCTTGCGGACCACAGCAGTGAGTGCCACCCGATCGTCATTCCAAGTTCCAGGTTCTTTCCCCTGATTCTGGGGGGTGTCAAGGAGGCAGGGAGGCAAGAGCAGAGAGCCAGTGGGGCTGTTCCTATCTGCCTCTGAATTCCCAGACCCCCAGATCCCAGCCTCTTCTGGCACGCAGCTGGTCAGCGACTCATGCTTGTGCCCAGAGTGCATGGGGGGTGCCCTGCCCTTTTTCCCTCTCCCCCTCTCTCCCTCCCCTTCCTTCTACTGTTCTCCCCTTCCTCCACCTTTCTCCACCCTCCCCCCACCCCGCTTCTCGCCCTCCTCCTGGGAAGCCTCTGCTGCCATGACTCACGTCTGGAGTTGGCCATCAGCGAGGCCGAGGCCATCGGTGGGTTGTACTTCAGTGCTTGGCTCTGCTCCACCTCCTGCATCTGGGGAAAAAGCTGGAGGAACCTTGCGGGGGTTGGGGCAGAGACAGCCCAACAGGAGGCTTCCTGGGCTGGACTGCACATGCCCACGGGCATCAGCCGGACCAGCTCTGTGGCCCAGGGCTGCCCTTCCCTCAGCGCCTCATGCATGCCACCCGAGGGCAAGCTGCTCCTGACGTTTGCAATGGGCTCAGAGCCCCTCCATGTAGCTATTCGATTCAGGTGTAATTGTGGCTCCCCCAACTACACCAGGTCTCCCAGACAGAAGTGCCAAACTCTGCTTTCCCACTCCCCACAGGGACCCCCCTTCTGCACAAAGGGACCAGACCCAAGGCCCAGGGTCCCACCCACCTCTACTTGAGAG